TGAGGGTTGCTGGTTCAAATCCCGCCCGAGCACACAGTATTTATTTTTTGAGTCTTCGGGCAAAAGCACTTGAGCCCCACTGCCCATTTCTGTATCAAAAAATACAAAAAATCAGATCTTAATTGATACGAAAACGAGTATCAAAACTAGAAACTGATTTGAAAACTTATAAATATAAAAAAAAAAAAATACAAAAACTGGAAAAAAATGTAATTAAAGTACTATTAATTTCACATTTTCTGGTCTAAGAAGTGTTTTTGTCGGTGTAAAGTTTGAAGTTTGCTCCAGCAGCAGCAGCGCGGTGACGGAAGGGCATCTGGTTTAAATTCTCCTGCACTTAGACATAATTTAGACATAATTTAGACATAATTTAATGTTTTCATCCTGAGTCGGGTTCAGAAGTTGGACATTTGGAGCCGTGTTGTTGTTAAAGTTCAGTGTTTTAGTGTAAAACTCGTCTCAAATCTGCTTCAAAATAAAAATAAAAACAAATGTCTTCAGTGTTAAACGTTAAAGCTGCTCCATGTAACATTCCTGGGCTCGGATACGCTCGCGTTTCTACGGAGACGTCGTCGCTGTGCCCGGAATGTTAAACCCGAGTCCGTCTTCCGTTTATTCCCTGTGTGAGTGAGGGGGGCTCGCCGCTGCACAGACCCGACCCGTGACTCGGCCCGTCTACGTCTCCAAACGCCCCGTTCCACCTCCTGATGTCATCAAGTGGTTTTCGGCAGTTTGGACGGCCCCTTTTTCCTAAGTCTAAACCAGGACTAAACCAGGACTAAACCAGGACTAAACCAGGACTAAACCAGGACTAAACCAGGACTAAACCAGGACTAAACCAGGACTAAACCAGGACTAAACCAGGACTAAACCAGGACTAAACCAGGACTAAACCAGGTAAACCAGGACTGGACTAAACCAGGACTAAACCAGGAGACTCAGGACTACATTCGTACTAAACGGACAAACTTGGGACTAAACCGGGACTAAACCGGAATTTATACAACTCTTTCTTGGGTCTAGATCAGGACTACATTTGGACTAAACCAGGACTAAACCAGGACTAAACCAGATCTAAAGCAGGTCTAAAACAATTCTAAATCAGGTCTAAACCAGATCTAAACTAGGACTAAAACCAAACCAGTTCTAAACCAGGACTAAACCAGGTCTAAACCAGGTCTAAACCAGGACTAAACCAGGACTAAACCAGGTCTAAACCAGGACTAAACCAGGACTAATCCGGGACTTTTATGATTCATTCTTGGGTCTAGATCAGGACTAAACCAAGGATTAAATGAGGTCTTTTATTCTTCTTTCTTGGGTCTTTCCCAGGTCTTTTAAAGCTGCACTGTGGAACATTCTGGACTAAACTCAGAACTCGTCCTTGGGGGAAAAGTTCCGTAGTGAAGCTTTAAAGCACAAAAGCCTCAAGTCTCCAGGTGAAACTCAGAATCCAAATCCTTCAAAACCTGTTGGTGTTTTTGTGGCGTTGACCATTCCTCCTCTTCCTCCTCTTCCTCCTCTCTTCCTCCTCCTTCCTCCTCCTCCTCTCCTCCTCCTCCTCCTCCTCCTCCTCTCCTCCTTCCTCCTCCTCCTCCTCTCCTCCTCCTCCTCCTCCTCTCCTCCTCCCTCTCCTCCTCCTTCCTCCTCCTCCTTCCTCCTCCTCTCCTCCTCCTCCCTCCTCCCTCTTCCTCCTCTTCCTCCTCCTCCTCCTCCTCCTCCTCTTCTCCTCTCCTCCTCCTCCTCTCCTCCTCCTCCTCCTCCTCTCCTCCTCCTCCTCCTCCTCTTCTCCTCTCCTCCTCTCCTCCTCTTCCTCCTCCTCCTCTTCCTCCTCTTCCTCTCCTCCTCCTCTCTCCTCCTCCTCCTCCTCTTCCTCCTCCTTCCTCCTCTTCCTCCTCCTCTCCTCCTCTTCTCCTCCTCCTCCTCCTCCTCCTCCTCCTCCTCCTCCTCCTCCTCCTCTCCTCCTCCTCCTCTCTCCTCCTCCTCCTCCTCCTCCTCCCTCCTCCTCCTCCTCCTCCTCTTCCTCCTCCTCCTCCTTCCTCCTCTTCTCCTCTCCTCCTCCTTCCTCCTCCTCTCTCCTCCTCCTCCTCTTCCTCCTCCTCCCTCCTCTTCCTCCTCCTCCTCCTCCTCCTCCTCCTCCTCCTCTCCCTCCTCCTCCTCCTCCTCCTCCTCCTCTCCTCCTCTCCTCTCCTCCTCCTCTCCTCCTCCTCTCCTCCTCCTCCTCCTCCTCCTCCTCTTCCTCCTCCTCCTCCTCCCTCCTCCTCTCCTCTTCCTCCTCTCCTCCTCCTCCTCCTTCCTCCTCCTCTCCTCCTCCTCCTCCTCCTCTCTCCTCTCTCCTCCTCTCCTCCTCCTCCTCCTCTTCCTCCTCTCTCCTCCTCCTCCTCTCCTCCTCCTCCTCCTCCTCCTCTCCTCCTCCTCCTCCTCCTCTTCTCTCCTCCTCCTCCTCCTCTTCCTCCTCTTCCTCCTCTTCCTCCTCTTTCCTCTGTCGTTCTGTCGGTGGAGGATTTGTTGTTTCAGTTTCTATTTATTTGAGTCGAGTCGTGTTTCTGGATCAATGCAAAAAATAAAAATAAAAAAACAACAAACTCTGGGCCTAAAGTGTGTCTCCCTCTCCCCAGACACCTCCTCCTGAACCCAGGACTAAACCAGGACTAAACCAGGTCTAAACCAGGTCTAAACCAGGTCTAAACCAGGACTTAAACCAGGACTAAACCAGGACTAAACCAGGACTCTAAACCAGGTCTAAACCAGGTCTAAACCAGGACTAAACCAGGACTAAACCAGGTAAACCAGGTTAAACTAAACCAGGTCTAAACCAGGTCTAAAACCAGGTCTAAACTAAACCAGGTCTAAACCAGGACTAAACCAGGTCTAAACCAGGACTAAACTAAACCAGGACTAAACCAGGACTAAACCAGGTCTAAACCAGGTCTAAACCAGGTCTAGGACTAAACCAGGACTGAAAACCAGGTCTAAACCAGGTCTAAACCAGGACTAAACCAGGAAACTGAAACCAGGACTGAAACCAGGTCTAAACCAGGACTAAACCAGGTCTAAACCAGGACTTTCTTCTGTGTTGGAGCAGCCGTACCTAATAAAGTGTCCTGTTTATTTTCAGTTTTGGAAAAAAAAAAAATCTCATCAGATTTAAAATATTTATTGGAAAAACGAAGGGAAACATGTTTACGCCGTTTGGAAAAAAAAAAAAAAAAAAAAAGACATTTTCTCCAAACCTCCAAACGCTGAGCTCCACCTGGTGATGTCATCGAGTGGTCGTTCTCATCAGTTTAGTTTTTTTTTTTCCTTTTTTCTTTAGTTTTTTAGATTTCGTCGATTCCAGCGCTGAAAAACTTGGACTCCAGGTCTGTTTGTGTTTGTGGTGAGAGGAAGTGTCTTGCTCAAGGACACGACGTCAAAGGGGAAAAGCGTAAAAAAAAAAACACTGTAAAAATGAAACTCGAGTCTTTTTAAAAATGAAGCAGAAAAAGATAAAAATTTGGAGCAGAACTTGGAATTTAGTTTAAATTTCCGAGCTTAAAAAGATGAAAGTGAAGTGGGTTTGGTCGGGTTTAAAGCCGCACTCCGGGACATTCTCCACGGGGATGAGGTTAAAGCCGGAGGAACCACGTTTCCACGGAGACGAGCAGCACCAAGTAAGAGTCGAGTCTGTGGAGACGCGAGCTCCATCACAGAGACCAAGACCAGGACTAAACCAGGACTAAACCAGGACTAAACCAGGTCTAAACCAGGTCTAAACCAGGACTAAACCAGACTAAACCAGAACTAAACCAGGACTAAACCAGGACTAAACAGAAAAACAGAACTAAACCAGACTAAACCAGACTAAACCAGTAAACCAGAACTAAACCAGAAAACTAAACCAGGTCTAAACCAGGACTAAACCAGAACTAAACCAGGACTAAACCAGACTAAACTAAACCAGGTAAACTAAACCAGGACTAAACCAGAACTAAACCAGAACTAAACCAGGAAACTAAACCAGACTAAACTAAACCAGGACTAAACCAGGACTAAACCAGACTAAACCAGACTAAACCAGGTAAACCAGGACTAAACCAGGACTAAACCAGGACTAAACTAAACCAGAACTAAACCAGGACTAAACCAGGAAACCAGGACTAAAACCAGGACTAAACCAGGACTAAACCAGGTCTAAACCAGGTCTAAACCAGGACTAAACCAGGACTAAACCAGAACTAAACCAGAAAACCAGGACTAAACCAGGACTAAACTAAAACCAGGACTAAACCAGGACTAAACCAGACTAAACCAGGAACTGAAACCAGGATAAACCAGAACTAAACCAGGTCTAAACCAGGATCTAAACCAGGACTAAACCAGGAACTAAAACCAGGACTAAAACCAGGTCTAAACCAGGACTAAACCAGAACTAAACCAGAAACTAAACCAGGACTAAAACCAGACTAAACCAGAACTAAACCAGGACTAAAACAGGACTAAACCAGGTAACTAAACCAGAACTAAACCAGAACTAAACCAGAACTAAACCAGGTCTAAACCAGGACTAAACCTAAACCAGAACTAAACCAGAAACTAAACCAGACTAAACCAGAACTAAACCAGTCTAAACTAACTAACCAGGACTAAACCAGGAAAACTAAACCAGAACAAACCAGAACTAAACCAGAACTAAACCAGGTCTAAACCAGGGAACTAAACCAGAACTAAACCAGGACTAAACCAGAACTAAACCAGGTCTAAACCAGGACTAAACCAGGAACTAAACCAGAACTAAACCAGGACTAAAAGGTTAAACCAGAACTAAACCAGACTAAACCAGGACTAAACCAGGTCTAAACCAGAACTAAACCAGGACTAAACCAGGTCTAAACCAGGTCTAAACCAGGACTAAACCAGGTCTAAACAGGTCTAAACCAGGTCTAAACCAGGACTAAACCAGGACTAAACCAGGACTAAACCAGGACTAAACCAGGACTAAACCAGGACTAAACCAGGACTAAAACCAGGTCTAAACCAGGTAAACCAGGGCTAACCAGGGCTAAACCAGGTCTAAACCAAAACTAAACCAGAACTAAACCAGGACTAAACCAGGACTAACCAGGAAGAACTAAACCAGGAACTGAACCAGGACTAAACCGGACTAAACCAGGACTGAACCAGACTAACCAGGACTAGTCTAAAAACTAAAGTCTAACCAGGACTAAAACTAGACCAGTTTTAGTCTTTGGTCTT